GGACAGCCACATTGTTCTCTCAACTTCTGTTTCCAGGCCAAGAATGAACTTTGAACCTCAGCTGTCAAACCTGCAATAACTGATGTTTTTCATCCACATGGACACCGGAAACAAGTCACCTTTTAAGTTGATATTATGAACTTGTTAGCAAACAGTTGCTTATTTCAGACATCCAGCCATTACAGAACAACATGATCATTCATTTGCAGTCGTGTTAGTGTCCACCTGATGAATGCTAGTCCAGTATTTACTCTCCTTTAGCTTGTTTTTGGGCTCTATATCTGTCTAATTAGCTGCTAAATGCTCCACTCTGTTCACCAGCTAGTCTCTAACTGTGTCTATATGCTGTTATGTGCTGAACAGACAGTGCTCAGTGGGTTTTTAGAGCGTTTTCACTAAAAACAACGCTATGAGAACAGTGAGAGCAACTTGGTTTCACAGAAATATGTAAAATGTCCACATCCTCTGAACATCACAGTACATGGTGGCAGATATTGTGTTGAAATACTAGCACCACAGAAATAGTGCCAATGGAAAGTCAATTTAGTTCCTTTGTCATGGTGAGCACACAAATCCTCTGGTTCAACAACGTAACGCAATGGACACTGGTTAATTTTACGATCCCAAAGATAGTATAAAGAGCGCAAAATTCTGTGTTAGCAGGGATCGTGGCGACAAAGATTTAACAAAAGCGGACTTTCACCCCTGAGACCGCTGTTCATGTCCCGTGTGACACTTAAAGTCAACATGGACTTCTCTCAACTTTTCGTAGTTGCATCATTTATACACTTGCGACATGTTACGTGAAGTACTTATGTCACTTTATGATGTACTTTTATTCCTTACGTAACGTAGAGTAGTTATTTTAATGGAAAACACAATCTTTTTCTAACCCTAACCAAGTAGTTTTGGTGCCGATGATGTCATGTAGTGTTCAGAGGTCACGGTCATTCATTCAATTTCTGTAAGTTGGCGAGAATGAACGAAACTAAATTTATGGGCAACAATGAGCTAAAACTCACTATAAAGCTCCATAAAGTCAAGGGGAGCTGCAGATTCAGGTGATAATTCTCTGTAGGTTTATCCCTACGAGCGACCTCTTTCTAGGTGTTAAAAAATATTGATTAAAGCCTCTTTATGAAATATATGAACACGTTTGCAGACAGATATGTTTACTGTTAAGATACGGTTGGTTCTTCCTGGAGAAGAGACATTTAGAACAGAAAAAAGTCTGTGAGTTTGAGTCTCAGACTTTTTCAGAGGTCAAACAGAAAAACTCAAAGAGGACAAAGCAGAAAAGAGATCAGTTATTATTTCAGATGTGTTTATCCTGCGGCGACAATAACTATAAGTTAGAAAACACCTGACCTCCCTGACTGACTGACTGTGTGTGTGTATGTGTGTGTGTGTGTGTGTGTGTGGGAGCAGAGCGTTGGCTGCTGCTACTGTAGGTGGGTGTTAGCATCGAGGCTAATGAACCCCATAGGGACTGAATAGGACTGCCTGTGGACATGCTAACACTCAGTGAGTGTAGATGTATCCTGTAGGAGGAGGATTTAACACACACACACACACAGAGCAGAGTCCCAGACTGTGAGATGAGTCACAGGGGAAGACGGCGCTGTGAAGGTGCTGCTGTTTACCTCCAACACCAACTGACTGAGAATAAAAATATCCAATAAGCTTTTTGTCCCACGCTGGATGCCGTCTTTAATTTCTGTACTGAAGCTCTGCAGCAGAGTGTGAAATTAACTGGACAACAAGTGCAGTGTGAGTGTGTGTGTGTGTGAAATATCTCCAGTTTAACCTCCACACACTGCACTGTGCTTTAATATAACACAAACACTTGGCTGAACATGTTATATGTGGAGGAGAGAGGCGATGCAAACTGCTCGTCTGAACCGGATTTTAAATATGATGAAAGAGTTTATAGGCTCCCTTTCAGAGTCTGATCTGAGCAACAAATATACAAGGTGAACATACAGCGTTTCCTTTGGAGTTCAGCTAAATGAATCCACACTCAAGTATTAACCTCTAATAAAAATACATTTAAGATGCATCAAGTTTTCATTCTCCCTCAGCCTCTGGTTTCGGGTTACATAAACTCTGAGTGGAGACATTTTATCAGCTGCTCAGTGTGGTTTATGTATAGAGATTTATGTATGTTTTTTTCCTCTTGCGGACAGGAAAACTATTGTGCAGTCAACCTTCATGTCTCTGCTTGACTATGGAAACATCCTGTACTGTCATGCTGCTCTTTACACCTTACGCAACATTATGCAACTTTTTTATAAACCTTAAAATAGCAGCTTTGACATTATTTAGATAGTATAGTGACCTGTGATGTGGAAAATGGTGGCTCATTCATTCCCACTTTGCACCCTGAATGCCTGTTCTTGCACAATGTAACACAGGTGAGCAGGTCGGATCTCCAGGGATTAACGCTTTCAGGCTGATTTATAGTTGTGCGTAGGCTCTATGTAGAGCCTGCGCCATAGCCTACACAAGTGGCCTTGGCGGCTATGAGCATTTATACTTAAGCAGTTGTGTGCCTGTGTTGCTATATGTTTACACTACCAAAGCACTAGTTGCTGATGGGTTTTGTTGTAAAGTTTGATTCAAAACACCCATAAAACATGGCTTAATAGGGACATTACTTAACACAAGTACAAGTTTCTGCTCCACTGTAACTCGCAAGGTTCACAGACAAAACACTTGCCTTTCCTAGCCACGTTTGCCCCACACATACAACATGCTAACGTTATTAGCTCAAACCTATGACATTTTACATTGTATAAATTAGCATTGTGGTTAGCTAACTTTCTCTGCTAATATTAAGCCAGGATAAATCACACAGGACTTAAAATGTTATTCTGTGGGGGCTTTAATGTCTTCACAGTTTATTGTTTCTAATCTGTGAAATAAAGGTAAATAAAAGATTTGTTTCCACTGACATAATTGGTTTTCAGCTCACGAAAATAAACAGAAGATCTGTGTCGCCACAAGGTGTAGTTATAATTCTGGGGAGGGGCACCTCAGGGTACAGTTCAGGGTACACGTCTATAGAGCGTGGTGTCGCTTAAACAAAGATGTATAAATCTCGCTTTACGACACAAATTAGCAGCTAGCTACAAAAAGCTAGCTTGGTTTTATCTTTTTTGTATTACAACCTTTAGTCCGCCTGGTGTGTTTGTAACTGTAGACTGAAGTTGAACACACAAAGTGATGTAAACTTGTTGTATAATTGTCCGAATAAAGTTGGAAGAAGAAGCTAACGTTAGCTGAGTTAGCTAGTGATGTGACCAAAGAGGACACTGACAAAATAAAAATGCAAACCTCATACACTGTTAGCGATGCATGAATTATACTCTGTAACTGCTCAAACTAATGCAGGGTGCAAACTGTTAATTCTGTCCTTATGTAAGCTGTAGTGACCTGTCTCACAGCTAACAGGAAAACAACGATCCAACAGCAGAGTGTACATCCCTGCGAATGTTATTCATGAAAGACTGCAAATCTTACTTATCGCCAAAAATTTATATTTAAACTCTAAGCAAACTATGTATATGAGCTGAAAATGCTCGAAACTAAAACTTTTTGAAATTGTTCTTTTTCCATCTTACATTAGTTTTCATCTCCCATGTCACAATAAATAAAACTATACAGAGTCGTATTTGTGTAAAATCCTGTAATTTTTCCCGACCCTGTCAGTCAACATGGTTCTTTAGCTTCTGATGTCATTTTTACTGCCTCTAAATCCTTTAGCTTGTCAACAAATGCACATGTGCAATCCTTCATAAATAAGCAAGTGGCAAACTCCGGGGCTGAAAATGAAGCCAACACTGACGTGCCAAAAACTGCAGTTCCTCCAATGGCCACTTGAGGCTGGCAGGTTTGTTGTTTTCCCTTTACGCCAGGACAGAACACACAGTTTGTAACCCTGTATTTACAACAGTGATGTATCACTCTGAAACTGTTGGCGTGCCAAATTGCAAAAAATACTAATTCTAGGATAATATTGCTTTCAAACTAACTTCATTAATCAAGATAAATATTTCCCTTATCACTGTGTGCTTTATGAGAAAATATGCAGGTCCTCACTAGCAGCAATAAGAGAACTTCTTCTTTTTTTTTTTATTTAAATGTCTCCTCATGCTGCCTCAGTACATCACATCTTTTCCTAAATTAAAAACGATATCTCAGGACTCAGTGGTTACCCCATGAGAAAGTAATGAACTTCATTTTAGTGATTTGCACCTTTTAAATTTCTGAATTACATCTGAGGATCACAGATTAGTTGTTACTTTAACCTCATGAGTTTTTCTAGAACAGTAGAGTTGGTGGTAACTGTAATCTGCAGAAACCATAATATCTGCCACTTTTTCAGTGTGCAATAACAAGAGGAAAAAAAAGTGCCGCTTCAGTATAATTTAGCCAAGACACTGTGTTTCTGCCTTGATTCAAGCTAATTATCTAAACTAGCTTCTCACTGCTAACTGGTGTTTGAATGTGCAGCTCTTAAAAACTGTCAGAGATGTTTGAAGTGAGTCAAGTCGCTCCTCACTGTCTCGATGAAATACTTTTTTTTTCTACCTCCCTCTGGTTCAGTGAATGTTCCTTTGATTTTGGGAAGATGAAGGCGAGGACGAGGAGGGTGCAGTTGAATTTGATTTAAAGTTTACTTTGCAGTTGACAGCAATCAGAAATTTACCTGAACAGCTTCCCAGGTTCAAATAACAATTCACCAGTGAGACAACTGACAACAAACAAACAAGAAATCATATGAAAAAAGTCCAAAAAGTCATATTTTTTCTTGCAGAGCCTCCTCCATCACCATGGAAACTGGTATTTTCTGCAGCTCTCAGGACAGAACAGATATCTGAGTCACCACCTTCAAAACCTGATATCATAAAAACCTTAAAATGAAAAGTAAGGTTATGGTTAAAGTTAGACGTGGTGGTGTTGTGGCGGGTGTCGTGGCCCTGATGCGGCGGTTGTACCTGTGTCTGGATGCGGTTCAGACCTCTGAACCAGAGGATCTGGCCTCTCCTCAGCTCCATCTCGGCGTGGTCGATCTCGTCAGCGCCCTCCGTCAGCTCCTCCTCGTGGATCTCCTCCTTTGTGATGCCATGACCGGCCTCCTTCAGGAACTTCAGGTGGTGAGTAGGGATGGCCGAGATCAGCTGAGATTGAAATACAGATATTATTTTATTAAAAGGTCATTCTGCTGATTTTACTCATAAAGGTGAGTTTACTGGTCATCATTAATCCCACTCAGCCTGTGAAAGAAGCTTTTGGCCTGGGCCAGTCTTGCGAGGGCCGGCCATTTTCCCCCCAACCACTGTATACTTTGTTAACATCTTATTTTAAAAAATGTGGACGTAGTCACTCATGTATGCTTCTGCTTTCTTCGCCACGTGCGTCACCGTGTCCTGTGAGTGTCGCTACATGGGTGCACTACAGTTTTAACCTCAGCTGACCACGAACCATGAAGATGCGATTGACGGCTCTCTCAACTGCAGTTATTTTTAGGATGTGCCCTGCAGGCAACTCATCGGCTCCCTGTGGGCAACCAGGCGCTAGCAGGACCCATGTTGGCTACCCCTACAGCACATAATATTTGATAGCCATATGAGCAATAAATGATTTAAAACAGTGGTTCCCAAATGGTCCAGCTACGGGTCATTGGCCTCAGTCATCAGTTCAAGGTCCACACAGTTTAATATATTCTGCGTCATACTTGCGTTTGGCCATGTCGTCAAGCTAGTTTGCTGTCTCTGTCAAGCAGCTGTCCGTTAGTCACTCACTCCACAGCAGGAAAACAGCACTTTAAAATATAATCTCTAAAATGGAAGTTCACTGTACTTTAAAATTAAGTCTTTTTTTTACAAACTTGACATGTTGCCAAGACACTTGATCACGACCACCCAGCTGGGAACCACTGATTTAAAATACTTACTCAGTGTGAATGTGATGTGTTTTGTGCTAATATATAGAGCAGGAGTGTCAGACTTAAATCTCGCAGCCAGATCCGGCCCACCAAAGGGTCTAATCTGGCCCACTGGATGACTTTGCACAACTAATACTGATGCACTTGTGAAGTCTAAGAGGTGTCTAATTTCAGGAGCAAGGTAAACACTAAGTGGCCTAGTTCATGTTAGATGCTGCTTCAGAGGCTTTTCCACCCTGACCAGAGTACAGGTCTCTGAAAAAACAATAAATACGTATGTTGTCATATTTAAAGATTTTTTTCTAAGATTAGTTTTTGTCTTTATTTCAGAACAGCAAGAGAGTGACAGGAAAGGGGGGCGAGAGAATGGGGCAGGCCTATAGTTGGACTCAAACCCAGGCTGCGGGCGCACACTCTACCTGATGAGCTAGAGGTCATCTAATATCTAAAGATATTTAACACTGTGCAAAATATTGTCAACAGCAGCTTCAGTACAAAAGAATCTGTATCAGATATTATTTAAAGTGTACTTATTTTTCTTAAGAAATCTCTGGCTTCTCCATATTGGCAAGAGATTGCCAAAGAAATGAGGAACATCTTTGGAATAGAAGTTGATCTTTTCTCATATGGTACTTAGGTAAAACATCAGACAATCTCATGACCCAGGACAATTATCTTTACTAAGTACTTTTGGCCGCAGGCAAGAAAGCATCACACGGAGGTGGCTACAAGCGAGCCCCCTTCAAAGGACGACTGGAGTGCAAGTTTTAACGAAAGTCGCTGTATGGAGAAAATCACCTTTCTTTTAAGACTGCGACTTGATCAATCAGATAACACTGGAAAAAATGGACCGAATACATTTTTATAAGTTATAAGTTATGCAGTGATTTTACTGGTCTGGCCCAACTGAGATCAAATTGGACTTTATGTGTCCTTGAACTGAAATGACTTGACCCCCTGATGTCGTGTGAATTTAGTGCGCTCCTGTGGGTAGAGCCTGCTGGTTCTAATTTAGTTCTGAGTTTAAACAAAACAAATTCCTGAGCTGTTTTTGTTGCCAGTCTGTCCCTGGTTTACCACGTCATTGTTTGACATAAGGATGCATTATGGGAAATGTAGGATCCAGTGTTTTCTGAGCTTGAAGGAAATCTCTCCCTCTCCTGCCTCTGTCCTTTTTTCATCATAAATTCTCTTTAGCGTCTCTTTAAGTTTTTACAGAATTCAAGGGAAAGTTTGAACTTAGTTTTTGATAAAATCCATGAAAGCTCAAGTGTTTTTTCCTCATAGAAATCCTGACAAATCAACTCGTGTTTTAAATACTTTCTGTAAAATTCTTTATCATGAAACAAACGTTCCTTATGGCTTAGAGTGAAGCAAGCTCATTACTATGTTCACATATCTTAATCAAACAGACATCTTACGTAATGTCGTATTGACTTTACTGTACATCAAACAATATTACCTGTACTATTTTTTTGTATTGATGTTTGTTCATTGCTCAGTTTAAAAAGAGTAGAGAGACACACCCAGCCTCCTGCTGCAGCTGCACTTCAGCTTTTTATATTTCTGTCACCTTCTCTCTCTGTTCGAAACAAAAGAGCTCAGATCAGCCTGTTTCTGTCAGCATCTTTCTGCGTCTCTGTTCTGTCTCTGCCCTTCCACTGAACCCACCAGGCTTCTTATGACTGAACTTTTTTCCTCTATATAATCTGTGCCTTCTGCGCCTGTGTGTGTGTGTGTGAGTACATGTTAACAGGATCATGCATGTGATGGTGTGTTTGTGTGTATCCACAAAGGGACTGACACGCTGGGTTTGTTTTCCCTCGCCGCTTGTAAACAGGAGTTGCGCTGCTTTCATGTGCGGAGCTCATTACCATGGCGATGGTTGTGATGGCAACGCTGCAGCAGCGCAAGTGTGACAGGCAACAGTTTGCTGCCACAGACCTCATGTATCCACCTCTTCATCTCCTCCTCAGTACATGTTGTTTGTTCTCAGAGCTCGAGCTCGTGTTTAATGTTTGGCTCTGATGCAGAGCTGAACACCTGAGGCTCTGGTTCTGGTTCTCACCTGTCCCCACAACAGCTCTCCCACGCCGATGAACACGCACCACAGCCACTGGTCGATGGTCAGAGCCGTGCAGGAGAATGGCTTTCCTCCGAACTGAACGATGATGATCTGAGGGAGAAAAAGAAACATACGGGACGCATTAGCTGACAGGTCCCTCATTACTGTGTAGTTAATTTTGACTGAGTGTAACGCACATGGTCCTGCTGCCCCAGATACTCAGGGCACCTAATGTGGATGAATACGCCACTGAAAATAGTCCCTAAAAAGTAATGTTTGCTAAATCTACAGTGACCAGCTGTTTTAGGAAATTAGCGAGCCCTTAAAAAACAATGCTTAATATTTGTGAGTTGCTTATTTTAAAGATTTATGTTTGAAAAGCTTGTGAAGAAGTTTGTGTAAAAACTGACTGCACCACATGTCGAGGCACAGAGACACGAGGGGTTTTCGGATCAAAGGAACTTTTTCATAGTTCTGAGAATCCCCCTTTATTTTGTGTTCACACCACAAAAACTAAAAAAGATTGTAGTTCTTAGAACACAGCTTTGAGGGACTTTTTAGCTCATATATTAAAGAAGCTACTCTCCCGGCACAAGAGGAATACAGAGATAGATTTGTCCTAATATTGTCTGAGTGAACAGATCGACAACCGAATAAAACACCTCCCAAATATACAAAAAGAGATTTGTAAATGCAAAAAACTTTTTTGCATGCATAAAAATGATCTGCAAATACACAAATTACAAAAATATTTTTTTTTAAAAACACAAGCATAGAATTGAGATTCACAAATAAAAACAAATGTCAGAAAGATATTCACAAATGTTTTGTATTTATTTGTAAATTAAATAAATGTATCCACAGATCTTTTTGGGGGAATTTCTTTGTGTATCTGCAGATTGCTACCCGACTTTCGTCACTTCAGTGTTCCTCTAGGCAGAAGAAAAGCTGTTACAGGTATGTAGTTTTCAGAGGAGCTCCTCAGCGGGCATGAGGCTCCATGCTGATATCAACTTCAGCCCGAAAATTACGAAGCTAACTTCAGCTGGTAAAAGTTGCAACAACTTAGTCTTAACAACTTGTAAAACAGATCGTGACACATCTCATATTGTGATTAATTTGATTTGATTTGAAAAATTATGAAATTTGTCGTGTCCGAGGCCATAAACTGTTTTACATAAATACACATAATACAAAATAACATTTAAGCAAACAACAAATCCAAATAACAAACGCTACAAATCACATCAGACAATACAGAGAGTGGATGCAGTGCAGCATATCAGCTAATTAGCTTTAATTTAGCTGATAGATTACTATCTTAACAATTACCTCATTAAATGCGTGGCATTTACTGTGTAGCATTTCTTGTTTCTCTTTGAAGGTTAATGTTTGCTAAAAAACATAATTATTTCTTCTGGCATTAGTGGGGGCAGCCTTTATATTAGGCAAGGTGTTGCTTTGATCGGTTGCAAGAAGCCCTGATGTGAAAGACTTTTAAAGTTCATTGTGGGCAGTGATTCAGAAAAGCCACGCTGCCCTTGACTTTTGTGCGGGTGGGCCTTTAAGGTTGAGGCTGGTTGGTTTTTTGTCAGCATGTAGCTCAGAATATGAAAACCCCCTTCCTCCCTCGTATTAGAAATTCAATTTAATCTTTTTTACACCTAAATTTTAATCTAAGTATCTCAAAAAACAAGAACAAGTGAGAAAAGGTTTTGGAATCACTGCATTAGGTGATGATGATGATGATGGCGCTGGTGTAGTTACCTGCAGGGCGAAGGTGCCCAGTACGACACTGCAGAAGATGGGGTTCCTGTAGACGCCCTCGAACACGTTCCTCTCTCCGTGGATCTTCCTGGCGTTGATTTCGTTGAAAAGCTGCATCATGACAAACACGTTGAACACGATGGTGTAGTGCTCCGATGGTGGCGAGTGCAGGGGGGCGTTGCGTCCGCTATCAATGTCAAAAAACGTCTCGCCTGAGAAACAAAAAAATAATAGATATTTTATCCATGGACTTCCCCTAAAATGGATTCACATACTGTTTTTTTTACAAACTGAAAAATAATTCTAAAACTTGGTTTAACTCACCAGCAAAGAGTAGGGTGAAGATGATGACGAGCTGGTACACGGCATGACCCAGGATGTTCTTCATCATGGTCCTGGAGATGAGAGGCTTGTCACGGCCGTATGGTTTACGTAGCAGCAGAGACTCGGTGGGCGGCTCGGTGGCCAGAGCGAGAGAAGCCAGAGTGTCCATGATGAGGTTGACCCAGAGCATCTGCACGGCCTTCAGAGGGGAGTCCTGCAGGAGGAAGAGGAGGAAGAGGAGGAGAGGTGAGGAGTTTAACTTACAGGAAGAAGTGAAAATCTGTGAGTAAACAGACAATAGGAAAACATAAGCAACAACCAATAACGCGTCTCCATCTCAGCACATTGTGAAAAGTACAGCTTTAAGATAGGTGCAGATTTTGCTTCTCAAATTAAATACTTTTAAACTTGAACAAATGCTCCTTCACCTCAGTTCTTCACCAGCAGCTTCACTTTACATGCAAACCTCCAAAATCCACTTCACATTCACTCTCAATTCTCTTGAGTTTGTCACCTCATGATGACGTGTCTGCAGCCACTGGTGGAGTCCGCCTTTGGACCCCAGCCAGTTCAACAGAGAGATTCAAAAACATGTCTGCACATGTGAGCTGAATGAAACACAATGTTACTGCATATTCTGGCTGAGTATAAGCTGAGTATTTCCACTGGCACATGTATTGGTGGATGTTATTGAGGCCATATGCAGAAACTAGACAGTACTGAAAAAGAACAATGTTCTCTGCTTGTTTTCCAGGAGAAAAAAAAATGAAGTCATATTTCTGTTCTCCTTAAAGATGCTGAATTGAACATCAGTTGAACATATGACAGTACAGGACAGTCTTTGTAGTAAAAATGCAAATGCAACATTATCGGTCATACAGTATCAGGTCTCTATCAGGGAAACTAAACATAATTTTAAAAGACTGCTGCGCAGATTTAACACTCCTTTAACACATGTTTTAATATTTTTCTATTGGCCGCTTTTCACCTTTACTGAAGATTAAAGTGCAGAGTCAAACTGGAACTGGAGAGAGGGAAAGAGATTATGACAGGCAACAAAGGTCCCACAGCTGGAAGCAAACCAGAGACATCTCGGTCACATGGCTTGTGTTCTTAATGTTCCACTGCCAAGGAGCTCCATGATAGACAGTTTCACAAAAAAAGGAGACTGACATCACTGCAGCAGAACCAGAGATTTCATCTGTTTTATTCCAAACATTCTTTTTCCTTGTCAAAAACTTGCGCCTACATTACCAACGATGCATCTGGATTTCAGACAGTTTGGTAAGGGATCCTGCTAGGTTATGCCAGCAGCAACTAAAGGTAAAGGTAAGCTCCCTTCTGTCAGTTTTTTTTCCATTTTAAAGGTGGAGTCTTCAGCCCTATCTAACGCTGACTCAAGTGACATCACTTGAGGTAAGTTACCAGACTTTTCACAGCTCCCTGTGGAGACATAAAGCTTCTTTCACATATGCACTAGTAATCCCAAAACACTTGTAAACACACTTGGATGTGTAAAATCAGCAGAGTTTTCCTTTTAAGAAATACTTCATCTGCCAAATGAGCATCATCGGCCCCAAATCTGAAGCCACTCACAGTCACAACATCTGCCTAACCACTGATAACTCCACTCTGCATTCCTCCGCACACATCCAAAACCTCAGTTATTTTCGACAGCAACCTCGTCTTCGAACACCACATCAATCAAATCACCAGAACTGCCTTTTACCACCTAAAAAACACAGCTCGTCTCCGCCCATCACTCCCTCTGTGCTGCAAAAGCTCCGATCCATGCCGTCATCACATCCAGACAGCATTCTTTATGGTACAGCATCCAAAGTCCCACACAAAATCCAGTGCATTCAGAATCCTGCTGCTCGTGCTCCTGTGATCACACCACCGCTGTCCTCCAGACCCAATTCAAAGTCCTCGTCCTCACTCACAAAGCCTTGCATGACCAGGCCCCCTCCTGCCTCACTGGCCTGCCCCACTGCCACTCTCCTTCGCTCAGCCTCTGCTCCTCTGATGCCAACCTCCTGTCTCCATCAGTCAGGACTAAGCACGGGACCTGGAGCGACAGAGCCTCCTCCAGCACCGCCCCCTCCCTCTGGAACTTTCTCCCCAAACACTTTCAGGACTGCACCGACCGCTCCCAAATCAAATCACTCGTCAAAACTCAGCCTTTCAAAACAGCTTGAAGCTGCCTGGAGCGACATCACTTTTCTTGCGTGGCTTTCAGATGCCTTTTGCAAGTATTTAAACTGTTGACAACCTGAGCAAATTGATGCAGTTTCTTTAAAAAAAACATGAAAAAAGGCAAAAAGCAACTTCATAAGAAATGTCCCACAAATTGCAAAAAATTTTAAAGATTTTTTAAATTATTTAAAAAAAAAAACTAGGGAAAAAATAAAGCCTGGGAAAACTATATTAATAATTATTTTATTTATTTTAAAATTATGTTACAGAGTTTTTAAATTTTTCAGCACATTTTCCAGCATTTTTCTTTTTCTTTTTGTTTTTACAAATTTTGTTGTTTTTCATTTTCTCTTTTTACGAATGTCTTGCTGTTTTTTGGGGTCATTTCTTCTGTTGTTTTTCATTGACTTCTTCCCATGTTTTAAAAAGAAATCAAACCAATCTGCACAGGTTTCAAAGTGAGTGAGTGTGTGAATTATTTTGTGTGTTATACATTTTTAGTGTATTCTATTTGATGATTGTTTTAGCTTCTCAAAAGTGTCTTTGAGTGCCATAAAAAGCGCTACATGAATAAAATGTATTATTATTTGTATATTACTTGTGCAGTGTGTGCATGCATGTTACTGTGTGACTTCAAACTTATCCCCTAAAACACTGAAGTCACATATTAACAGTAACAAAAAAACTGACTGAAGCAGTTGTAGCCCAGTGAGTGTCCAGTGAGGTGAAATTGCTGTTGTCAGTGGAGTCTGGCTCTGAAGAGGACAAAAATAAGTTTCAGTTTCAGTTCAGTTCCCTGACAGAAAGATATGTCTGTTTGGGAACGACTGAGCAAATGACTGGATACGACCTTTACTTCAATTCACTAAGAATTTCCTCTGTTTTTGGATTCTTCGTTCAGCGTGGAGGCTGCTAGACAAAACATTTCTTCACAAATTCAATATCACCAAGAGCTGCAAAAGCTGCAAAGCTGCTATCCAAAATATTGTTGGCAGCTCAAGTCGCTCAAGACGTCATACATTCGAATGTTCGATCGTACTTGTCAATTTAAAGGAGCCGCAAAGCAGGTTACTGGCTGGAGCACAGCACCTTTGTTGGCTGCTCAGCGCCAGCAGCTAGGCTACATGAGTAAAGAAATCGTCACATTCACATGAAACAAGGGAGATTAGCAAGCTCAGCGTTATATTAGCATGGATGTATTTGCCCCTAGTTTTAAAAAATTCCTTCTCAATATCAACCGCACCAGGCAAACCAACTACTCCGGACACGGTTTCCCACACCTGCTCCTTTTGATTTCAGTCCCTACATATAAACAGGCTCGAATCATAAAGAACTCTGTGAACTAAAGTTTCCGAGGATGTTCTCTGGGTTCCACACAAGCGATGGACATCTACTTTCGATTGGTGGCTGGTCATTTGCAGCCGAAATGTGTCATAGCTAATTTGCATAAAGTTTATGACTCCCCAACTTTCATCTGATGCTCTGGTCACCAAAACGCGGACGCTTTACAGCTTTGCAACTTTTGCAGCCGTGGTCGCTGGTGCCCATTGAAAATGAATTGAATCGGTCGCCTTGGCAGCTTTTGCAGCTCTTGGTGTGCACGTACAGTAACTGATACACAAATGATCATTTGGGGTGAAGCATTCCTTTAAGTAAGTTTTTTTCATTCCACAGCACTGTAATAATGACCAATTATATCCCAGTGTGTTGTCTGCTGGACTGATTCAAATGCACATAAATGCAGGAACAAGCATTTACACACGCACATTTCACTGGACCCCCTCCACTTGTGAACCCAAACCTCCGCCCCTGAAACATTCCTCTGTACATACAATAAAGACATGAATCAGTTTACCATGTTTTAATGATCTGTGCCAACATATCAGTGGCCTAACAGAGACCAAGCGCTGGATGATCAGTGAGTATAAACACGGAGACCACAGACCTGCTGAGGCCCTGTTATATTCCAGGATTATGATGGTGACGTGTTGCCATGGTTTCAGGCTGTATCTTAGCCTACTTTGAGCTCTCTACTCTGCAGCCGAGGTAGTTATCTGTCCTGCCAGCTGTGAGCCTTTCAATTAATACACAGCCGCAAGTTACTTTTTTTATTGTGTCAGGAGTTCAGTTTCCTGATTAGAGACACATTATGAAACAAAAAAATGCGACACGGCTGCCTCGCCTCCTCACAGCGCTGCGACGGTCACATCAAAAAATGACTCATTTTCCTGTTTCTGTGGAGATTTGATCAGAACAAAAATCACAGAAGAGCAAATGCATCAACACAACAGCGAGCCTAAAAATTTAATATAACCATCAAGACACAAGCTGCCGTTCATGTTCAATCATCAAAATCCACAGAGAAGGTAGAAACACTGATTTACTAACAGCTGAGTGCAGCCAACATGTTGCACAACACAGTGTGTGCTCTATTCATTTGTTCTCATCCAAACGTGTGCATCCTGAATCAGGTTCAATCAACAGACAAATGTACGGGACAGGGGACGTTTCATCCTGGTGATATTAAAGGGTAACGTCTGTATTTTTTCCACACTGGCCTCTATTTTCCATTGTTTTTGTGTCTAAGTGACTAAAAGAAGCAACAACTTTTGAAACTGGTCCAGTATTGAGAGAGTGAACCACAGAAAGCAGCCACAAAAAGGCTGCAGTGTAATCACTCAGGGCATGTGTGCATCGTCAATTTACATCCAATAAAAGTGCTTGTTTTATCCACTTACGTGTTCAGATTATTTTTCTAAGTGTCTGACAATTCATGGAAAGGATCCCTACAGAGACAGACCTATTGGTTAATAATCAGTGCGTTTTTCTGTTTCCACTGTGAAAAGTTGTGGATGGTACCAATGGAACAATTCAATACCGTCCCCATGTTTGGTCCCCCCTCTGTTGGGGTACCTAGCACACAGATCCGGTACTAAAAGGTGGAGCTGTGAACACTGCAGTCTGATTGGTCAGTAGAGGACGGTCACTCTGCTCAGGGCTGAGCTGTGGCTGGTTTTGAGGCTCATGTAACCACTGTTCATACTGTGGAGAGTTTTATTAGTAGACTGTAACTATAAAACAAAAAGACTCACTGCAGCCTGTTTTATTTTGTTCTGAAAATGTCAGCATACAGTCTCGTTCTGTGGACGATAAACGAGGTGCAGACTTCCAGCTGTGTCACTGGTGAAGAGCCAGGAAATACAGTGAGTAACATCAACCCCACCCACATTTAAGAGTACTGTTTGCAGTGGAAACTCTAGGGTCTAGGTACCATGTCTGAAGGGTTACTTTTGGTTCCAAAGGTACCATACTGAAAGTGTTTGGTGGGTTTAAGATCCACTTTGTTTAACCAGAAACAGCCCTGAAATTGCCATCACCAACCTCACCAGACTTCATTTAAATAAACAGTCATTTTATCATCACAAAACATACGTAACCTAAAGTCAGCAGAAACAAACTCAAACTCACAAAAACCACCCTGGTTCGTCTCATCACCAGCTCTGGTTTGGTTGAAATAAACCCTGAATTCACCCAGTTAGATGTGAAAATATTCTGGCTTCATACACACTTAAATTACTGTTTATTTAAATGGAGTCTGGTGAGTTTGGCATCCTGGTGTTTAAGCAGCTGTGATGATAGCATAAACAGTGATCCCACATTAACATGCAGCCTTCAGGCCTTCAGTCTACCTGTGTGATGCAGGCGCCGGTGAAAGCCACGATCACGGCCACCACGTTGACAGTCAGCTGGAACTGCAGGAACTTCGAGATGCTGTCGTAGACGTTTCTTCCCCACATGACGGCCTTGACGATGCTGGTGAAGTTGTCGTCAGTCAGGATGATGTCAGAAGCCTCCTTTGCCACATCTGTGCCGGCGATTCCCTGATAAGAAGGAGCAGATCCTGGGTTAGGATTTCAGACAGATGGGTCACAAGCTAAAAAGGCACATTTTAATGAGTTTATGATTGTTATTCTTGGAGCTTTAATGTGCCTTTTTCCTGTGTCATCTGCAGGACAGAGCTGCTGTTCTCAGCAGTATTTTTCTTCTGTACCTGCAAAGCAGTTTTACAGGAATGAAGGAGAGGAGAGGGGAAAACCAGCTGCTCAGTTTCAGAGTGGATACAGTTGAAATTTATTGTTAAAAAATACTGGAGGTTCTTTTTTGGAGAGAACAATGAGAACAACCTGTCCAGTGGCCTCTGGTTTAAAGGATAATGCAGCTTGAGTGTACAAAGCTTTAAGTGACAATATTTTAAACCCAATTATCTGACACAAATTAAAACTGGAGAAGGAGTGTCGTGTTAGCAGAAGCTGTGATGTGAGTCGCTGTGTCTCTCTGCAGAGGCAGCCTCTCCCAGGCAGACGGAGGTGGATCGCTCTCTGTTTTCCAGCTGAACAGGTGATAATTGAACTGGGACACATGGGTGCAAACTGAAAATATTCCAAATGGGACACATTAGGACTGAAAGGTCACTGGTTTAAATCCCCAGCCTGGCCCTGTGATGTGTTTGGGAACAGTAACTGTTGTCAGATTGTTGTTTGACAGCAGAGCAGCTGCTCAGCAGCCTGCAGGAGGCTCTGGTGTTCAGATGACTTTGCTCAGTAAACAAAGGTCACAACAACACTCAGAGGAGGCGGCTGATGTTACTCGGCTCATCCACAGGCCCTGCACTGCACTTTTAGTTTATCAGCGTCGGCTTTAATATCAGCTGATCAGCCGGGTTCAGTGTAAATCTTTGTGCTCTGGCATCGGCTGGGAGAGACAACACTTTGAATATTTTCTGATCAGCAGCAGGTAAAACATTCATTCATCATAAACACTGACGGGAGGCAGAACCGCTTCAATCAGTGCCTTTGTCTGTATTTCAGAGGTGTTTCTCGGGGGAACCAATGTGCTGCTGCTGCTAGTTCACAACTGTGTTTAACCCTTTGATTCACCAGAGCCCACAAACTCCTCATTTTAATCACAGTCACTACATGTTTCAGACAGGCATGTCATATTATTATTTCCAGACTATGTTGGGCTCTCAGTAATGGAAGAATTTGGCTGCTAAGTGCTTTTATAGGGCTGTACCAAATATTTCAAAGCTTTGACGCTTCATTCACAACATCGACATTTGAATTCCAAATTAACACTCAAAAGCTGCACAGCGTTTTTTCCCCCATGTCTATTTATTCTGTTTAAACCCAGTATTGCTGCACAGTTGCACACAAAGAGGCCACACTAATATTATTAGTTTTAATTTAATTGTAGGATTGGGTTCCAGTGGTGGCTGTGTAGGATTGTTTCCAACTTGTGTGATCCAAACATTTCCAATAACATTTCCAAATGTAACAACATGTTTTAAACAAAATATTCTGATTCAATTCATATTTGTTTGCGCTTAGCCTTTCAAAAATATAATTTCCACTAGGGTAAAAAAAAAATTGTTTGCTCTCCTGCTTGCCTCACACAGAGGGAGACACGCACCTGTATTAAAGAGGGGGTCTAGCAGCAGTCTAACTTCACCATATAATCAGGGTGTCTACAGCTATCAGACAGTTAAATTTAATGCTTTTTAAGACCCATTCAAGACACCTTTTATTCACATTTAGGACAGATTTTTGGACAAATTATGTTTTATTTATTCAAGCACCGCAGCATTGCAGGTAAGTAGCATATATGTGGTTTTGTGCAGAGGTAAGTGTTATGTAGGAATATAGAGTGAGTTAAGTCAATCTATATTTTGCCAACAGGTGAGTGCAAGTATGAAGTAAAATGACAGTATTCTGGTTTTTAAAGATTTGTAACATTAGAAATGTGACTTTCACACAGAACGTCTTCACTTATTTTCAAAAAAAGAAATTAAAATATGGCTGAATGAAATTAGATTAAATGTTTGTAGTGGTTAAGACTTCACAAATTCAAATTTAAGACTATTTAAGACTTTTTAAGGACCTGCAGACACCCTAATGTTACATTTATTTATTAAAAGAGTTGATTTAATTAAAAAAAGACAAACTTATTTAAATCTAATGAACCACTTTATTCAAATTAAGGATTTTGTTCCTGGATTTCTTTTGTTTTTTAGGGTGATGATGTCATTAAATATAATGACAGATATTCAAAGCTTTGAGACCCTCAACAGTAGCTTTAAATGTAAAAAAAAAAAAAAAATCAGCATTTGGTCCAGCCCTGCTGCTGTACATGTTCTATGGCAGATATTATGAAAAACAAAAACTCTTATTGTACAGAAATGAATAGAAACCGATAGATTCCTGAAAGTGGAGGAAAAAATACATCTAAAAGTCTGAAACATACGAGCACGGCTTGGTCCTTTAAAGGACTGAGAACAGGGATCAGGTTTGTTAGCTGATTTATGATTAACTTTCTGTGACCATGATGTAAGACTGATATTATTGACTGTAGATAAGACAAAGAATAAAACATAAACACAGAGCCGGTCCCTCTGTGTGTGTTGGTGTTTGGAGAATAACATCAGTAACATAGCAGCAGAGTGGGACCCCATTGATGAGCATCCAGACTCAGCATTAATTGATTGATTTGTCCATTTCACAGCTATCTTAATGAATCCATGGCATTAAGCTCAGGAGGTATTGTGGATGACGCTCAGAGAAAATACCCTGTTTTTATTGACTGCATTAAAAATGTAATTAACTGTTTTTTTGTTTTGGTAAGGATGTAGAGCAGACTGGAGCAGCAGGTGAGTGAAGCAGTGACGAGCTGTGGAATAACAAAGGTGAAAATATGAAGATGTGGTTACCATGGCAAAGCCAACATCAGCTTTCTTGAGGGCGGGGCCGTCGTTGGTACCGTCTCCTGTCACTGCCACCACCTGTCGGGTCTCACCCACCGTGCTGTCGATGATTCCTGATCAACAACAACAATTCTCCATTTCAATGAGTGTGTGAACATCACAGAAACAAGAACAAATTAATTTTTAAAACACAAACAGGTCACGACTGTTGACTATTGTTCAATTAGAGTTTAACAATATGAGACTTTCTTTAAAGGGACAGTTCACCTCAAATCAAAAATACATATTGTTCCTCTAACCATAGAATGTTTTGGTGTGAGTGTTGGAGATATCAGCTGTAGAGATGTCTGCCTTCTCTCCAATATAATGGAGCTAGATGACACTCAGCTTGTGGTGCTCAAAGCGCCCAAAAATATATTTAAAAAACTCAACAGCAATGTCTGCTTCTAGAAATCATGACCAGGTTACTCAAGACAATCCACAGACCTTGTTGTGAGCAGTTTCATGTTGGAACTATTTTCTTTCTGCCAAACTTACTGTGCATGCATATTTGATTTTGTGTTGCACTGTCCCTTTAAAACTCCAGTTATCTCACCTTGTACACAAGAACAAATAAACATGTAAGCAGCCTTTACACATGCTAAACAGTACACATCATATTCAACTGAACCCACCTTTGACCAGAGTGTGTTTGTCTGTTGGCGAGGAACGGGCCAGAACGCGCAGTTTGGGCCAAACTTTGTCCAGACGCTCTTGTTCCACCTAGAAATGCAGAACAAGAAAAATAGTTACATTGGTGTATAAAGTAAACATTATATTCAAGAAACTACATACAAACATTTTTTCTCTTATTTTTGTGTGTTTCCACAATTTGTTCATGTTTTGTTAGTACCCATTAATGTTTGGGATTCACCAGTATTTTTTTATTTTTGCTCTTCACTAGGCACGAGATAATTTTATGAGTGGTTGAGACTTCTTCCCAAGATAAAAGAAAAACTTCTTGATTCCACAGTTCACACATTGTTACCCAGTACAGGGAAAAATAAGATTTTTGGAACATTTTAAAAAAATGCATAAATATCATAAAACTGAATCTAGATGATTATGTTTTAGAGTAAGTATAATGATTTGATAATTACATTTCAGGGCTAAAAAAATTACCATACTTGGCCTACGGATCCAAATTAATGTAGTTTCAGTTACTGTGCTTCCCTTTGTTGAGCTGTGCTGGAATGTATTTAAGTACATTTACTCAAGTATTGTACTAAAGTACAAATTTGAGGTACTTTTACTTTTTACTTGAGTATTTTAATCTCATGCCACATGCCTTCTCCTCCACTACACTTCAGAGTCATGTTTCCAGATTCTCATATGTGTGAGCACTTGCTGCTTTTCCTTTTAATGATATAGATTTAATACATTTATTTAATTTTATACATTTTCCTGATCGTACTTACATACTTTTACTTATGTAACATTTTTAATATTTTTACCTGTAGCAAAGTCTTTTTACAGTGTGGTATTAGTACTTCACTCAAGGAAAGGATCTGAACACTTTCTCCACCACCAATACTGACACGGCAAATGTTTTGTCATTGCTGGGTTTTTAGTTTTCTTGTAACACCAGTGCCGACACTCTGGAAAATGATATTTACTTTGTTTAAGTTTATTGAACAGTATGTCAATTTTACTACTGCTGAAGTTCTTCTTCTTCTTCTTCTTCTTCTTCTTCTTCTTCTTCTTCTTCTTCTTCTTCTTCTTCTTCTTCTTCTTCTTCTTCTTCTTCTTCTTCTTCTTCTTCTTCTTCTTCTTCTTCTTCTTCTTCTTCTTCTTCTTCTTCTTCTTCTTCTTCTTCTTCTTCTTACAGCCTTTTTGTTGGTGACATCTCTCTAATTCTTGGGCATGTGACAGAGTCTTTGCGTATGGCACAACACCTGCCCTTATATAATGTTCAGGGGGCGTTACCTATGCAATAGGTGACTTATGGTCAAGAAGGATTCAATATTCAGCACACCTGGGTAAGAACAGATCTGGATGGTTAAAAACGTTTGGTGCATCTGAAGTTGACTTTTTTCTCTTACCAGAAAATTAAGAAAGAATATGACAGAAATTTAAGAGAAAGTTGCTGCATGAGGCCCATTGTGTGCCAAATCACAATCCATGCCTGTGTAATTAAAGCATGAGAGCATAAAACCCTCCTGTCATCCACCTCTAAGTATCATTCTCTAGTATAATAGAGAAACTTTTAGTTTTGGGCACAAAACAATAATTAATTTACAAATTACAAATTTAAACTTATGACTCTCAGAAACAAGCCACTGATCAGACCAGGATTAAAACACCGCAGCATACTGGACTGACGTTGGACAGGAAGTGAAAAACAGAACTCTGATGCAGCAGTTAAACGAGAGCAGGACTGATAAATCAGCAGATATCGGCTTACTGCAGATTTATTCTGTCATTGATATATTGAGCAATAATTGAAAAGAAATTCAAGGCTGTGAATTCTGGAGTCGTCTAAAAAACACCACGTAGCTTTAGATAATATTTTAATTTGTAGTCTGCAGTAAACTTGAGTAAAACATTTCTGCCCTGGTCTCACCTCTCCCTGGTCGTTTCTGATCTGCTGGTTGAACTCTTTGCCCTCCAGACACAGGAAGTCCTCCCCAGGCAGCAGGATGCCACACTTGGTTGCGATGGCACGGGCGGTGTTGATGTTGTCTCCGGTGACCATGCGTACAGTGATGCCTGCACGCTGGCACTTAGCAATAGCCTCAGGTACCTGGAAGAGTGTCAGGAAAAAAAGAAACATCATGAGACCTGAAAGATGAGCACAGATGTTGAGGAGAAACTCGCCAGCTTCTCGTCGTGATTTATACTTCGGTTTACAGATAATTTAAAAGAAGCTCAATCAGCTTCAAACCTAGTGAGACTGTCTGATGTCGAGTCTTTCAGATGGATTAACTTTCCTGAAGTGATGCATGATAAAACAGATTCAGAATCACGTCTCCAGATGCCAACACGTGGGACTCATCCTGCAACAGCTGCAGCAGATATTACCTGAGATCCCACTCATGCTGCCTTTATCCCCTCCTGACTGGGACCTCATTCATCTCAGATAATAGAGTGGACAAACAGAGATACAGACAGACATCTGCGAGGAGTCCATGGTGACATAACGGTCAGTGGACAATCAGAAAGCTGTTGGCTACTTCGTCTGCTCAACGGGTGGCTCGGCTGGCATTTGACCAAGAGACCAACAGGAGTTCTGTGTTGCTGACAAATACAAACAAGCATCACATCTTTGATTCACACAGAGGGGAGTCTGGACTGAGAGAAGGAGCGAAGGGGAGGGACTGTCAGTATGATAAACATTTTCCCTGTGAGTGAGATGGTTGGAGAATACAGGAACATACTTAAGCTCAGTCAAGGACCAACTGTTTCAAAAATGACCATGAATTCTGATGCTGTCATGTTGTCACTGTAAACTTAACATTTGCTGCACAAGAAAGAAGCAGCCAGGCGTAGCAGCAGTAACTGAGGGGGGTGCAGCTTCAGAACGGGTCATTTGACACACCTGGAGCACACCAGGTGCACCATACAGACAGAGGGAGCAGTCGAGGCTGATTCAGGCTGCTGTGCTGTGTGTCATTGCTGGACATTGTTCAGCTGTGTATCCTGGCATGATGATGATCAGGGGCGTTGTAGTGGGGGAAAAGTGGGACTGATTATCCAAGGCCCCATTGGAAAAAGGGGCCCTTTAAGCCTGGAATGAAAAGGTTGATTTATTTGTAATAATTAGTGTCATAACAAAGACTGAACTTTGTATAATTAAAAAAATAGTGGAAGCTCTCTGAGGCTCCTCTCAACCCTTCAAGGCACAAAATGGGTTAGTCCGCCGCCGCTCTAGAATTTATCTCTAAACACACTTAGAGCCAAGTGAGTGAGTGCTCAAGCAGCTGGAGCAACAACTTCACTGTTATGTCTTGTCCCATGAAAAGGGAATCAGGGTTCTTAAAAAAAGAGAAAGAAAATAAAGGGCAAGAAAGCAAACTGACTTCATACAAGACACTCTCTGCAAGAAAAGGAGGGAAGGGGGAGGGAGACAGGGAGACTGCTTATGAATAGGGCCAAGATTTCGGTGCTACGCCCACGATAATGATGATCCATGGCCATTAAAGGGTAGCTTTGGTATATTTCAACCTGAGCTCTATTTGCCCTTGTTTTGTATCTAAGTGACTAATAGGAAAAATATTTTTTGAAACCGGTCCAGTATTGAGTGAAACAAGTAGCAATGTAACTACTCAGGGTATATGCACCCTTAATATACGTTCATTCAAAGTGATATTTTCGTCACTGATATGCTCAGATTATTTATTCTAAGTGTCTGACAACATTATGGAAAGGATCCCTACAGAGGAGGCGTTTTGGTTAAGGAGTAAGGGAGTAAGATCCTTTTTCCCCCACCAGAAACAGCCCCCAAAAAGCTTTTCACCAAACCCACCTGGCTCCATTTAAATATACAGTAATTTTATGATCGTAAAGTATAATTCATTCAGAGCTGACAGGAATAAAATAAAACTCACAAAAAAGGCCTTGGTTCATCTTTCCACTGTTTCAACAATCATCAACTCTGGTTTGGTTGTAAGAAACCCTGAATTCACCCAGTTAGATGTGAAAATATGCTGGCTCTATACATACTTAAATTACTGCTTACATAAATGGAGTCTGGTGGTTTAGCGATGGAGATTTTTGAGTTGTTTCTGGTTGAACAAAAAGGATCTTATTCTTTAACAAAAAGGTCTCTCTCTGCAGGGATCCTTTCCATAATGTTATCAGACACATATAAAAATAATCAGAGCCTGTCAGTGGCAGAAACAAGCACTTTGAGTAGACGCGAGTTGGGCACAAATGCCCCAAGTGGTTACAATGCAGCCTGTTTCACTGCTCAATACTGGACCAAGTTGAAAACGTGGTGTTCCCATTTCTCACTTTGACACAAAAACATGATAAAACAGGGTCCGGGTTGAAAAATACAGAAGTTACCCTTTAATTGCTGAACAAGGTCTCTGCCTTTTGAAGACGTCCCTTAAACAGTTTAAGTATTTGTGCAGTGAGAGTGCAGACTGAAGCCGTCAGGTCACAGCCACATACATGCTTCATGTTTTAGAATAGGAATATGAATTATGAGCCTAAAAGCTGAAACTCTGTGAGATTTTGTGTCCGTCACATCACAGGACATGTAGAGATAAACTGAGTCCTGCTGCTCTCCGGTTATTTCCATCCTGTCTGTGATCTCTGTGCTCTGACATTAAAGCAGCAGGCAGCAACACTGACGCTGTCTGAGCTTCATTACAGGCTTCATTTAACACTTGAGAGCACCTGCACACCTGACCACGACTCACTTCAGAGCTCCTGTTTGGGAAATTATGTTCGTTTATCTCAGCTCTGTCATGGACTATTGAATGTTTTCATCCCAACATTTTCCCTCACACAACACAAACACTTTAATATAATTATGAGCAGCCCTGTCACAGCAGTTCAGTTACACTCCTCTGCTCCATGTTCTCTCTGTTCTCTTATGTTCTTTGAGCAATAAAATGAACGTCAGTGACTCTGCTTCATGCCTACAGAGCATACAGGACATTTCGAAATCAGCCAAATTCATTTATGTGTCAGTGCAAACAGCTGCAGACTACAAACACTGATCATCAGCCTTAAATATACTGCAGATTTTTACTCAGGGTTTGAAATACATTGTGGCTTTAAGGGGAGCCCTATGATTCAGAGTTAGATAGTGGGATGGTACTGTGTGTGCACATGAAAAAATATATTATCATGCATTATAATTCATGAGACAACAAACACAAAGCCATTCACTGTAACTACTTTTTTATGGCTGTCCTTTGTAAAACAATAAAAATACGACTGCACAGTGGACAGGTGATAGTTTGCTTTACTTAAACAGCCCAGACCGATATTTCACAGCTCCCTTTCCTTTATCAAATGCGTCTTTCTGCAGAGCCGAGCTTGACGTAGCTCCCTGTATTGTGAACCCTGTTTTTACCTATGTAAACTACTCCCCACTTAGAACTTATTTTTGGGGAGCACATGGGGCTGAGCTGCTCGTCTGCTCACCCATTCCCACTCCTGTGATCACATCACCTCTGTCCTACAGTACCTCCACTCTCTGACCGACATTGGATCCAATTCAAAGTCCTCCTCAGTCACGTAACCAGACCCTCTCCTACCTCACCGACTGACCTCCACTGCCACTCTCCTTCCCACAGGCTCCACTCCTCTGTTGCCAACTTCCTGTCTCCATCACTCAGGACCAAGCGCCAGACTCAAGGGGACACAGCCTCCTTCAGAGTCTCCCCCTCCCTCTGGAACTCTCCCCAGTAACATTCAGGACTACAGTGACCTGTCCCAGTTCAAATCACTGATCAAAACTCACCTTTTCAAAACTGCCTTTAATGTGTGAATAATGTGTGTTATACATTTTTAGTGTACTTTATTTTAATGATCGTTTTAACCTATGTAAAGTGTCTTTGAGTACCATTCACTTTACTGTGATGCAGCCTTTAAAACCAGGAAAAGACAACACTTATGACATTAAGAATTTTCAAAATTTAATAGATATCTAGTCACATATCATGATATTGATTTAAGATCGACACATTGCCCAGCCCTAGCGCCACCCTCAGGCTGAAGGGACTCAAGTATCAATGAGTTGTGGCCTATCAAATGACAGATCAGTTTTGATACTCAGTTGTGCTAATAAAAGGCACCCGACTCTGACGTCCAGTTTGACGCAAATTAAGCAGAAGTCTGGCCGCTGACACTCCTGCAAGTTTAAACCTATGATGCATGATACGCTCCTGTAATAACACCCCTACTTTCCAGACTTAAATTTACTTAAATTTTAGTTACAGGAGAGTTTTCTGTACCTCAGGTCTGACGGGGTCCTCGATGCCGACCACGACGATGCAGGTGAGGTCGTTCAGGATTTCATTCTCGTTGTCCCAGTTCGGCTCTCCAGCTTCAGCGGGGAAGTCCCTGAAAGCCACGCAGATGGTCCTGAGCCCGTCGCACGCCATCGGCTCAATCACCTTACGCACCATCTCATCACGGTCCTTTGGCTTGAAGATGCGGGGCTGACCCTGGGCGTCCAAGATACGAGAACATCTGGGAGCGGAGGGAGAGACAGAGAGAGATTATTAGAAATGATATTAATCCACTGTTCTCAGACATTTTCAGTTTTATCTGATCTTGTCTTACTTCCTCAGGACGATCTCTGACGCTCCTTTACTGTACATGCGATAACCTCCATCAGCATTCTTCAGCACCGTGCTCATGGACTTGCGGGAGGAGTTGAAGGTGTAGACCTTGTAGAGTTTCTCTTCAGGGATCTCCTCTCTGATTGGCTGGTAGTCCCTCTTCAGCTCCAGCACCAGGCCCAGCAGAGCGCACTCGGTCTTGTTGCCCACGTGGCGGGGCAGGCCGCCTTCTTTCTCCGGAGGCTGATGAGGGACAAAAGGTTTGGGTGTGATGTGACGTTCAGAGTTTAAAATTAGTTTTGTGTCATCACAGGCGAGAGGGAGCACCAGGACCACCTCTGCGTGTGTTTGATTTTAATGAATGTCAGATCCCTCACATAATAAGTAATGAATCAGAAGAGAACAGAAGCTAACCTGCAGTTAGACTGTGGCAGCTGGTGTTACAATTATCTACAATATCCAAATACAGCGAGCTCAGAGGCCAATCTCTGTTCTTTGGGTGCTTTTTTAGACTGTTGCTTTTTCTGATGAATACGTTTTGCAGAGAGCAGATTATATCAGCTGTAGCTATTTCACATTAATGGACTGTTCACTCAAAGTCTCCCTTGAACAGCAATTGTAGCTGAGCAGCTAATCAGCTGACAAGTTGCCAATTTAAGCGCTGCTGAAGTGCAAAATAAATGGTGACTGTAAAATAAAAGACTGGGAGGAAATCTTAAAGGGATCAAATTAAAAGATGTGTTTGCATGCTGAGTTAGGAAAAAAAGATCCTTATGAAAATGTCCTGTGAGCTGCATCTGTCACCAGGGCAGCTCGTCTGAGACAAGAGGCAGCGTTAAAGGAATGCTTCACCCCCAAAATGACCATTTGGGTATCAACTGACCCTTCACTAAATCCCACCTCTGGACACAGACTGGCCAATCATAAAGTAGCATAGGGCCAGCTCAGACCAGGGTCCAACAACAACACAGCTGTGCTCCGTTGACTCTAATGCAGTTGTTGCAGATTTCCTTCATTTTCAGGCTGGTTTTGTGGATTTGGAGCTAAATGTTGTGCCTGGGGCACGTCGTGTATTAATGTCCTAAGTTTCTTCCCTGTTCCAAAATCAAACCCTGAAAAGTGTAGGGTTAGCTAGCTAGCTACTGAAGATATAGCCTCCTGAATGTAAACACATGCTGCTTTTGCTTTTTAATGATTATAACAGTGAAACAAAGACTGACCCTGCTGTACAGGAACCAGTGAAGAGAAGCAGGGAAACTTTGCTGATATTGAACCAGCTCTGTATCATCACAGTGTGCGCAGATGAACAATGTTTGGCTTCCCCTGGAGAACCCTGCCAATCCAGTGGCAAAGGTCCAGGTGTTGGCAGCCACACGGGGGTGAAGCCACACACTGATCATCTGCACACGCTGTGATGCCACACAGCTGGTTCAATATCAGCAAAGTTTCCCTTTATATTCATTGTCTTCTGTGGCGATCAGCAGTGATGTGGTGGTTCACTTCATACATTAAGGAGTGCGCGATTGGGCAAGTGTGTAGGTTTGAGCTCTTGTCATGCATTGCTTTTAAGCCCTGCCTCCCAGCTCACTGATTGGCCAGGTAGTGACCGGGGATAGCAGAATTCCTGTCTACTGAGCATCGACTGGATAAATGAGACTTGAATTATACTGCAAGAGTTGTGTGAGAGCTTGTAAATGGTTGCTTTGTGTGGTTTTGCTGTTGTTAAACGTGGTCCCCCTGTACTTCAATTCATCAAGTGTTATCTCCATTTTTGGTTTCTGCTTTCACAGTGGAGGAATGCAAGAAAAACAACGTACTCTTCACAATGTCAACATAACGCTGGTTGAATAATTGATATACAAATGATCATTTTGTGGTTGAAGTATTCCTTTAAAGCATCCAGGAATTATTCCAGTGTCCTAACAAATGAGACATTTTGTTCAGTCCTCACTTCTTCAAATTAACTGTATTAGTCTGGGTTTCATGATTAACGTTTAGGTTAAGTTCAGGCTGATGTTATAGTTGTGGTTTGGCAGAGCTGTGATGATGAAGGTCTCACCAGGATCTTGGTGGTGTACGCTGAGTTGATGGAGATGCTGTTGACCATAACTTCCAGAGTCTCTGGTTTGATGACATCAGGTTCAGGGACTGTTTTGTAGTGCGTGTCGCCGATGTACGCCTGCACCACTGTCATGCGGTTCATTGTCAACGTTCCTGTCTTGTCTGAGCAGATTGCCGTGGCGTTGCCCATGGTCTCACAGGCGTCCAGGTGACGCACCAGGTTGTTGTCCTTCATCATTTTCTAGAATATAGAGAGCAAAGTTGGAGGCTTAGGTTTGTGTTTAAACATAATTTTGAAAACTACACGACTTAATGAAATGAGTATGTGTAGTTCCTCTACACTCACTCTTAACGAACATCACTTATTTGCTTCCCGCCCTGCTTACCTTAACAGAATAAGCCAGGGAGATGGTGACGGCGAGCGGCAGCCCCTCAGGAACAGCCACCACCAGCACGGTCACACCGATAATGAAGAACTTGACAAAGTACTGGATGTAGATGGGGGTGCACTCGGCCACCCAGGCCCGGCCCTGGATCCCAAAGGTGTCGATCACAAAGTAGAGGATGAGGATGATGACAGTCACAGCCGACATGATCAGACCTGGTTGGAACAGGCAGAGGTTAAACACAAGCACAAGTCGTGGCGGTCGTGTTAGTGTCAGCGCGCCAACGCTCTATAAATTGCCCATTTTACAGCATGTTAGACAAACTTGACAAACATGAACGTCCATTGTTTTGCTCTATTAAAGGAGACCTGCTAAACTCTGGTGACAGCAATGTCTTCAGTTGTTCTGACATAACTGCTAATGTGACTGGCGAGCATGCTAGCGAGCAGCTACTGAGAGTGTGGACGTAATACCTGTGTGCAGGGTCCTTTGACCCTCTCACATAAGTGATGTAGGCAGCAACAACATCTAAAGACAAGTGATCAGCTGGAGACGCATGACAGGCACAGGTGTGAACACTGATGTTTCTTTGCTGTTCACTTGTGTTCAGATCAACAAAACACACATTAGTATCAGGAATAAACAGGCTCTAGGAGACATATTGTGAAAACACAGTGTCTTTGGTTTGATTTCAGACTTGTTGCATGTTATCTCCTTTACTCTCTCTCCATGATTTCTGTCTGTCTTGAATACCAATGATCAAATAAAGGCAAAAATGGCATAAAAAAGCTGCAAAAAGTTGCAGACCTTTGTGTTTGGGAACGCATTAAATCTTCAGTTTTTGACTTGACTGATGACTGAATGCACATTTAAACATATCAGGCTTTTAAAGCACACTAAAATCACAGAGGAATTCTGGTTAAACCAAAGCCAAAAAAGTATTATTGGCTTATATGTGAGCAAGGCGGTGAGGTCTGGATGCAAAACAAAAGTAAAAATAATAACAGGAAACCCTGGCACTTAACGAGGCAATTGAAAAATGTGCCTGTAATATTCGGCCAATAAATATTTGCCTGTAAGTCAGATAACACCCTGAGGGGAACATCATAAACAGGTGAAACAGAGAAGTCTGCTGCTTGTGTTTTTCGGTTCACCTCTCCTGTCCATCACCTCCTGTGAAGGGTTTTGGCCCAAATTCTATTTTTATGGTTTATAACTGAAGCTGGTCGTGACTGCTGCCCCACCCCTCCACCCTCCACCCTGTCCTGAAAGCCCCTCAGTGTATTAAGGTCAATTGAAATGACACAGAAAGTACCTTCAATTCTGGGATGAATCATGTTCCCAATAAAACTGAGTGCATTCTGACCCTCAGCCTCTTCACTGCCTGATCGCTCTGTGTGCTATTAAAGGAACAGTCCTACATTTTTTTGGAAATCCTCTTGTTCTTTGTCTTCCTCAGAGTCAGATGAGAAGATGGTTATCAGATAACCAGGATGTGTTAGCCTAGCTTAGCAAAAAGACTGGAAGCAGAGGGAAACTGATATCTAGCTCCATCAAAAGACTCTAAAGATGTTTGATTTACATGTTTCCATGTTAGCTATCTGACTGGCTTTAGTTAAGACAGAGCTCAAACCTGGACACCAAACAATGACTTGTTAACAGTTCTTCAGCATATTTAGAAGTTAAAGTACTTTCTTCAGGTTAAATGTTCCACCTAAAGGATGAAACGAGCAGCAGCTCAGTGTAAAGCAGATTAAAGTGTGACCAGTGACTCTGCAGGATCAGGTTTCCCCCAACAACACCCAACACACTCTCCATTAATCATTCATCAGTTTTACGAGGCTTTGATATTGTACATTTTTAAGAACTGTGTCTCTGAATTGTGGCTGGAGACTCCCTGTTTCTGCAAATTCAGCCTTGTGGCTATAATGTACCGATCGTTAACAAGCCTTCACAGACGCCAGCAAAGAGACACCATCAGACATGGTCAGATTGTTGATTCTCTTATGTGGCAGTAAAAAAAACGCATCAACCTGAGATAAATGTGCTGCGTTCAGAGTCATTGTCCCGTCTGTCTCCACACCCTCCACATACTCACACAATAGGCAGCTAAGAGGTCACAACCAAATGAACAGGTTGGTTCAATCATTTATATCTCCCCTCAGGATGAAACATAATGACTTTGGTGACCTCTTTTCATTTGAAGAAATACCGAAGTATTTTTTATATTTCTGCCAACTTCCATTTTTACTTCACAACATTTCCTAAATAAAATGAATACTTTAACTCCAATACATTGAAATGTATTGGAGTAAAAGTATTTTAATGTCCTCATCATTTTTGTTACTTCGTTACTACAAAATAAAATCTGAAGGTTTGGCAAATCAGTAGTTCTTGTTTGCAAGTTAGATCATAGGTTGATCACATAAGGGCAACTGCTAATAAGAGCTCCCAAAAATGCAGTTAAGTTAATTTCCAGTCGAGCCCAGGCTGCATGTCAGATTAGATGCTACATGCTAGCAACTACATTCCATGCAATGATGAGACCGACTTTACGATGAGAGCATAAAATGGCTTCAAATATGAATCCAGATTCTGTTACTGCATTGACTATTTCTTGCCTCAGATGTTTTCATAAACATATTATTGTGTACTGTTAAGCTGCGTATAAATCACTCTGTGGCTCAGTGCCCAAATATATCTCTGACATGCTTGAGACATATGAACCTTGTAAGACCCGTAGGACATCTGGGGGCGGCCTACTGACTGTCCCAAGAGTTAGAATAAAACATGGTGAAGCAGCATTTTGTTATCACGCAGCACAAACCTGGAATATCCTCCTAGATCATGTTAGAGAGCCTGACCACTTTCAAGTCAAAGTTAAACTGCTCCTGCTCCTCTATTTCATAAACTCCAGATTCTTACTATTTATGATATTAATATTTTTCAAATATGTGTTTTTGTTTCTAAAATTCAGTTAAGGGAAGGGAATATTCCTGAGCAGTTTAAGACTTACTTTAAATCAAATTCACAGATTCACTCTTACTCAACCCGCCACTCCTCAGATCTTCATCCTCCTAAATTTCTCACTCGTAGAGGTCAATTTTCGATAAGATTTAGGGGCACTAAATTATGGAATGGTTTTTTCCACCTGGTAAAAAAATCTTCCTCTTTAAAATGTTACAAAAGATGTTCAAAAGACCATTTAACTGCTGTATTGTAACTATTTTCCCTAATGTATTATTGTTCATGTATCTGGGTCTTATTTTACTTTATTTATTTCATTTGTTTGTTTTTGTGTCACTCACATGTACCATTATTGTTTACTCATGAGTCCATTCCAAACACTCATATACACACACATCACACATTCACATTCATATGTATTTATTTTGATTTTTATTATTTTTATGACTATATATATTTTGTATATTTAGTTTGCCATCATCATTTTTTGTATGTTAATTTTGTGCTCTACATAACATTGTGAAATTTTAAAATTTAGGTGGAGGCTTCAAATAAGCCTACTGGGTTTTTTCGCCTCTTCCTGTGCCATGTACTATTTATCTGTTATTCTTGTGTATTTTTAAACTGTGCAAAATAAACTAAACTAAACTAAACTAAATACAATCCTTTTTACACTGCCTACTCCACCCTGTTATGACTGCAAACTTATTTTTAAACTCAAATTTAAATCATTTTAGATAATCTTATTATCTTTGCACCTCTTGTCTGTACTTTTGCCATTTTTAATAATGATTTTTCTTTTTAATTGTAAATCATTTGGTAATTAATTTTACCTTTTACATCTTTTTTTTTCTCTTTACTTTTTATTGTACATCTGTATCCTTTATTATGTTTTATATTTTATTGCTCTGTAAAGCACTTTGAATTGCCCTGGTGTGTGAAATGAGCTATACAAATAAAGCTGTCTTGGCTAAAATGAAAAAGTTGGTGACCCGGCCGCCATGTTGGAGACAGTCGAGCCAACAACCATGCACCACCCGTCAGCTGGAGCAAACTTTCTCAGACTCCTCGGCTCCTATCTGTCTCATGTACTTCAGTGTGGATGTAGTGACAGTTTGATAAATATGAAACTTTTTTTTTTATAAAAGTTACCAACTAAAGCTTTAATCACACAACGACAACATGGCTACCTATTTATTTTTGTAAAACACTTTGTTGCTTTCAATGTGCGCCATACATAAAACGATGTGAATTCACTTTGAAGCCGTTGGAAGTTTTCCCCTGCTTCCAGTCTTTGTGCTAAGCTAAACCTGTCCTGGACATCTTTTTTTTTTGTCTTACATGATGAAGGCACGACAAAACTCACATCCTGGACACACGGACATGAAGCTAATATGGTGTGTGTGTGTGTGTGTTCCTCACCAGCTTTCCCGATCTGTACAGCCAGTCTGGTCAGTTTGCCCTGCAGCACTGACTTCTCCTTCTTGGTCACGTTGACCTTCTTCACCGGTTTGGCCTCCTCTTTCTCCTCCTTCTCCTCCGACTCGGCGGCCTCCTCGCTCTTCAGCGGCTGGATCTCCAGGGCGATGCCGTCCTGGGTTTTGGCTGGGAGGGGGAAGGGGGGGGGGGGGGGGGGGGGGGGGGGGGGGGGGGGAGGGGGGGGGGGGGGGGGGGGGGGGGGGGGGGGGGGGGGGGATAAGGTGGTGGTTGAGGGGTAAAAGGAAGAGGAGGAGGGAAGGTGGGACCGGGGTGGAGAGTAAAGAGAGATGAGGAGGAGGAGGTTTAGGAGAAGTCAGGAGAGGGTTTGTGATGAAGAAGAGGTGAAGATGAATGAGGAGGAGAAGGAGGGGGAGAGGGAGGTATGAGACAGAGTGATGAAAGATTGTGAAAGAAGCAGAGGGGTGGATTTTTTAGAGAATGAAGATGGAAGAGAGGAAAGTTTTCAGCAGCAGAGGATGAAGGTAGACAGGACGGGTTGACAAAAGGTGAATGATTTAAATCAATAAATAATAACAAATCACAAAACAAAACCAAAAGAAGGAAGGAGCAGGGTTCAGGAGTGGTTTGGGGATGAAGGGCAGAGAGGCAGAGAAAACGTTACAGATTCAGTCGGAGGGGAAAGATGAAAACGACCGGACGAGTTTTTCTCAGAGATCAGAAAAGACCTCTGACTCTTTATCAATTTTAACATCTTTATTAACATGGTGACCCTTTGGCTGAATGCAGAGAGTAGCATTTCATCAATTTATGATCACAGAACATTCATGAAAAAGGTCCAGGTAGCTTTCAGAGAGACGAGTCGGGAGCAGCAGTTCATAATGAAGAGCAGCAGACAGAACAGAGAACAGCAGATACAACAGAGAGGATTTAACCAGGGGCCGTCAATCACACACACACTGTGTTTGTTTCACATCAGAGCTCCGAGTTTGGAACGAGGCTGAGTTATGAAGTCTGGTATGGTGTCTGGTTTCACATCCTGCTCGCCGGTTTTGCTCCTCATTTGCATAAACAAACTGTGTATTTGCATTTCCCTTCGTCAGCTGGATCCTGTTTGGACTGTAGTACTGTAACGTGGAGCTTTTTGATCTGTTTGATCTCTGCTGAAGAGCTTACACTGCATCCAGCTGCACTCCCTCCATCCACTGCTGTTTGTCATATTTCCATACCAAAGAAATGTGAGCTGGTGATGAATGTAAACAGAGCAGATCTACACTGATCTGACAGGCTGAGGTTTGATGTGCTGTTTGTCCTCCTGAACAACTGAGCTGACAACACTGACTGAAGCTGGGAGGATTTATTAACAATAAATCCTGGACATGTTTTGATCCATCAGCTAACTGTATTGTCTTATAGTCAAGAGAGTCGCTGCTGGTAACAATGTCAACATCACTTCTGGAACCAACAATACCAACAGATCATGGACATAAAGCAGGTTTAGATTCCTGGATGACCAGTGAGAAGTTTCTAAATAACAAGAAGAAACTTCAGGTGTTCGCTGCAAAACTCTGCACAGGTTATCTCAAATATAACCAGGGAATTTTAATGAAATTCAAATAAAATTCAAAAGTGACGAGGCAAATTTCTGCTCTACTACTGAGGTGTTACGTAATGGAGCCTGTTGGATCATCGACTGCTGAGATCAGATCTGTTCCTTTTTTTGTTTTCTGCTTGAGAAACTTTCACTGGAAGCAGCCAAAAGCAAAATAAGTCAATAATATTAATATCAAGGATTAAAATCTGGGCTGCGTGGGAGTGGAAACCAGTGCAGTCCTTTTTTGTGCTGTTTCTTCAGTGAGTTTTCAGAAGGAAATTAAAATGTATTAATACTAATTGATTGATTGAACCTCATGCAAGAACAAACACAAACACGAAAGAACTTGTTGCATTTGAGGATTTGGCCTGTCGTATGATTTGTGTATCGACTGGCTGCTTTTCTCCACAGGGGAGGAACACACAATAGTACACAGCCGTGATAAAACATAATACGAGGCACCGCTGCTGGGAGTATTACAGGGGTTTAGGTGCACTTAGGCTGGGGTGGCACAAAAAATACAGTGCATGATAAATTAGTTGGGGGAAGAAGGGTTATTGGAATAAATGTGGAAAAAAGCTTTCTGTACTGTAGATGTTTTCATTCCTTTCTTAATATGTTTAAGGTGTACTATGCAGGATGTTCCTAAAAACATAATGGACTTGTAAAAAGGTAATTCCTCTACATCATCATTTATAACCCGCCAGAAGTGTGGTGCAGTGTATTTATCTGCAGACACCTCTGCCTGTATTATCTTATTTTCTACTTATTTTGCTGTGTTTAGGACATTTTGGGGCATTAACCCCCGGCCAGGAACAGCTCGCAGGTGAGGCTGGGGCTTTATAAAAAGGCAGGGACCAGGTGGTAGCAGCACACATCTAAGAAGAAGCTACAAAATCACAGACACAGCACTGAAAAAAATGCAAATATAGCGAGACAAAGCTCGCTCCTAAACGAGAGTGAATCTGAGGTTGGCTTTCACTTTCACTAGTGAGCACTGAAGGAGACGCTGGCGGTTAGCTTAGTTAGCTTACAACAGATGTAACCTACCCAAAACAATAGCTTGCAGTGTACATATGATGGATGTATTAAGAGACCTGGATACAGCGTTGGAGGCAGGACCCCATTAATTCCTATAAAAGTTGCTCAGTGGTGCAACAAAATGTCTTTTTCTGCAGCCGGCTACTTCCGCTTCAGCACTCTGCTAACTTGAATGGAGATATAATGAATTAAATTTTGCAGCTTTTCTAGACTTTCCAAATGTTATCAGACCAAATGGATTAAATCGTGATAGAGGAATGAGTCATTTTGCGGGAGTTGTGATGCTCAAAAATATTTAGCCACTGATATACAGACGTCTCTTTCCCAATTTAAGGGACAACGGGAAAAAAGTCTTTTTGAGTATCACTCTGAAAATTTACTTCACAGCCCAGCTCACTTCCTGGGGTCCTGGTATGCATGAGCAGTGTAGGGAGGAGGGGCCAAGTCTGAATGTGGTGGTTACAAACAGTAACCAACAGTTCCTGCACAGTATACCTTTAAGGAGGTGTAGCTAAGGTACTAATGTAGATTTAGAAACCTTCACTCAGTGGCCACTTATTTATGTTTTAAACCTTTTAAATCCTATTTATTTGTGTCGAATTATATTGGCTTATGTTTATTTTCTTCTTCTTCATTCATTTACGTCTTGTGTAAAGCTCTTTGAATCGCCTTGTTGTTGTTAAACCATGGTTTACCTACACAATCTAATGCAATCCAATACTATTGCGCCATAAAGTTTAGATAATAAAACTGAATAATAGAACAATTAAGGTGGTGCTGTATTGGACTACATCATATTGAGAGGTGTTTCTATTTTTTTTTTTACCTTTCCATTTACATGAGGGTAACAGAATATTAAAAACACCTCTCAATATAATGGACTCCATCACAACACCATCACTAACTATCACCTCAGTGCTAAAACATACAATTTAATTAACATCTCTGTGACACAAAGAATAGATTGGCATCATAAAAGCAGACTTTATGGCAGAGCAGTTGTGTTAGATTGCGTTAGACTGTGAAGGTGTTGTGGCCGCTAAGTGTATGTCATTTACAATGAGAGTGATTTAAGCCTAAACTTGATGTAATCTTAGAAAATGGATTATAAACTTATTTGCCTTTTAAAACGAAACTCCCAGTTACGAGATGTGACAATCAATCTAGTGAATTCTGACCTTATAATTGATTGTAAAATGAGTCACACATTAATTTGACCCAGATGCTGAATTTGAAGTTTTGACAGCAGTGGTAAATCTCACAAACGTACACGCCCTTAAGAACAAGTCATATCCATTAAAATGAAGGATTTACAATGAGAGATGTTTGTACACTCGTATGAGCACTTGTACAAGCAAACTCGAATGACAAATGTAGGAGAGGTTAAGGATAAGAACATGTTCTTGCATGGGGCTCAATGTCTCGAATGATGAGCTCTCATGGAATCAGACAGACAGCAGACGTCAAGCCGGATATTATTTAAGTTGACAAGAGCAGGACCGTAAGGGTAAAGCTGGCAAAGAATACCTGTTAAGGAAATGGTAGACGACACTGACATTCACAGTTGAACTATTTTAACTTTTTGCTGTCCTCTGTGACGGAATCTACAACCGTATGTTACGTAGCTTCCTCACATGTAGAGAAACTTGAGCGATCTGGATGATTACTGGACGATTTGTATGTCATCACCATTGCAACATATCGTCATGTATGTTTCATTTTACCGTCCTGCCACTCCGCCCGACTGTTTGTTTGTTTTCCCGTGCCATCCAGAAGGTGTTGTCTGCCTGATTCCATGTGAACACAACATAAAAAATAAATCTGCTAAGATGACCAACATTTCCTCCCAGCTCACTCTTCATATTTTGTAGAAAACATCCACAGTGAGCTTGAGGAACTTCAAAGATTTGGGGATGTTGGATTAAAACCATGTAGTCGTATGTTTTTTGGACACTTTAATCCCAAAACGCCTTCACTGTCATCGTCACTGCCTCACTCTGAGTTTCATCAGAAGTCCCCATACAGAATTTTGCTAAAAGGGAAGTCATTTCACGACAGCATGACCTCAACATGACACGTAGACACTCTGAACGTGGGAATGAGTCGGTGTCAAACCAGGAAGCTGCAGAGCTTTATGCACATGGTCCAGTCTGAAGACAAGCCACAACATAGAACTAACTGACACAGCTTCACATGAACAGGACTGAGACCCACTGACCAACCACAGAACTGTAAACAGGCGCAGCACTGAACCATGGGAGAGCGCACGGCGGGCAGAGGGGGGAGGAGGGTGTCTGACAATCAAAAAGAAAGCAAGTCAACAAACAGAAGACGAACTCAAAGGATCACCCCAGAAAACGAAAAACGACAGCGATGCAGAACCACGACAGAGATAGACAGGAGGAGGTAGAGGAGGCTGCAGAGCTGTGGAGGCTGCAGGAGACTTCAGCAAGACAGAAAAATAACAGAGAAGAGGGAGAGAGTCAAACAGTGATTACAAGACAACATGAAGTCCTGAGCAACACCCTGCAAG